ACCGGATTCTTACCACTAAACTCGCAACACTACTGAGTTGTTTGATGAGTAGCAGTTTTTCTCTCGAAGCCATTAGAAGACTGTTATTGTTGAGGCGTTTGGGCGAAAAATTTGTTCTGAGTTGAGCTAGAATTGCTTGCTCTGCAAATCGTTTAGTTTTCTAGGTCTATGGTTGAATTTCCACGGAGCGAATGCCAGCGGGGCTGCTGATGAGCTAATGGGCGGCAGGGCGATGTGATATTCATTCTCTTCTCTTTATCGTGGAAAGAGCCGAGTTGGAAATACGTAAAACGTACCTCAATGTGACACGACTTTCCATTTCGAAGGTAAAGTTGTTTGGAAGGAATTCCGGATGTCTCACCGAAAACCGAAGGATGATTTCCGCGTAATAAAGGCCGTTGCAATGTGTGAAGAAGTCCTCGGCTCACCATCCTACAACCGCGATGAACTTGTGCTAAAATGCTGTCTGTATCGCTGTGACAGACATCATCATAGCAAGAGTCCACACTTTAGGACAGAGCAAAAAATATACGTACCTTAAGCACCCCGGTAACAAAGGCGCGTTATTTCGTCCTCACGATTGGTCGCATAAAACTAGCTCCAAAAGCGATTCACACATCACATACATCTAGACCGAGAATCGTTTCCGTGGTGACCATATGCGATAGAATCTCGCTCTCCATTCTGTCATGTAACATCTTATCATCCCGATTAAACACTATTTGCTGTAGGATGTGGTGGCAACCGGTGTCTATGCTCTTCTGCAGGTCCATCACGCATTGCTAACTTAAAGCGGGGTGTACCGATTGTGACTACTGTGCGTCCATTCATACAACGAGTGCAAATAGGAGTGCACGACGAAAGTGATCTTTCAATTGATCACGAGCTCGTCAACTCACCGGACACGTCTGGCTGTCATTCACGTGAAGCCCAACGAGCGATCTGCAGCGCTTCTCATTTGCTCTTCTTTCCGATCGAACAAGGCTCTTTAGTGTACCCTCCTCTCCTCGGCCGTTTCGCTTGGGGCCAAACGCTAACAACCACCGGCTCCGACCGACAGAAAGTGTATCTACGGCATGACGTCACTTGGCTGAGACAGAGGCGAGCTCCACCGGAATCGCAGTCTCCGGACTGTCCCCTTCCGAGCCAGGATGGGCAAGAGGAACATTTCGCTCGAAAAACCCGTCTCCAGCCTCGGCCAGCTCGCTCGAGGCGTCAATGTAGGCGGCTTGAAGCCATCCGGCCCGTCCAAGGCGTCGGAAAGGCGGCGGCAGGCGGTGGAGTCTGTTGGCCTGACGGCCGGACTCGAGCTCAAGGTGCTCAGGGTGAGTCGACCAATGGTGGAGTCGGTAGAGTCGGCGGAGACGTGGCGAAAGAACTGGCCGGGCGAGGAGGCGAACAAAGACCAGATTGTGCGCGCGATTGGACGAATGCGGAACTGGAGTCGCTCGAGGCGAGCCGGTGAGTCCGAGAGGACGAGACGGCCGGGCCCCCAGACGCTGCTCGAATGGTCGCGAACGATGCTGGAGATGTCGCAGATCCACAAAGCACTGCCGCTCGCCTTCCGCGGAGCCTCCTGGCCCGCCGACACGACTCGTCAGCTGATCGCGAGCGGTGGAGACAAGGCCTTCCGAATGCTCATGCAACTGGAGAAGACGGCGACGCGACCGTTGCCTCGACTAAAGCAGCGCGGCGAGATTACCACTTCTAGCTTCTCGTGAGCCTCAATCGGTGACCTTTTATGTTGACAGATCAAGTTGATAATGTTTGACCTTGTTGGTAGGACGACTTATTGGAACGCACCTAGTCTGGGGTCCATTGTCGGCATGATCATTTCCAAAGTTGAACCGTGCACGTGGTACATTCCCAAACGTTTCGCCGGCATCGT